TTACACAGAGTCTTGATCAATCAACGAAAAGAGGGAATCGTTGCCAGAGTCTCGCGCTCGACTCAATCTACACGTGGTATCAGAGCCCAGCTCCGATAAAAGAGGCTTAATCACCTTCAGGCTTCAGAGGAAATGAGTACAAGCGCAAACACTGGAGCGATCTTCATGGTGGATGGATTCTCTTAGACAAGACCCCCGAAATTCAAGGGAGTGCACTACGGGTACTGGCGAAACCGAATAGAACTCTTCATTGGGTCCACTGATCCAGATCTTTGGGATATCATTCTCGATGGACCGCTGGAGGTCAAGGGAGTTCGAGGCAACTGGTCAGACACAGACAAAAGGAATTATCAGATGAACTCCAAAGCCACCAACTTGATGTACTGCACACTAGGACCAGAGGAATATCATCGTGTCACTGGAAGCAAATCTGCAAAGGAGATTTGGGATAAACTACAGATAACGCATGAAGGTACGACACATGTGAAAATTTCCAGAATCAATAGCTTGAAGCAAGAATTCGAGTCGTTTGTCATGAAGCCTGAAGAATCTGTCAAAGAGATGAATGAACGATTCACGACAATCGTCAACAGTCTGATGAATTTGGGAATTGCCTAAGAAAGGTGCTATGGGCATTGCCTAAGAAATGGACGCCAAAGGTCACTGCAATTGAGGTATCAAAAGACCTCACAAAACTCAGCCTTGATGAGCTCATGGGATCCTTGATAACCCATGAAGAAAAACTAAAGAAAGAAGAAGATGAAGAACCAAGGAAGGAACGAAGGAGCATAGCCTTCAAGACAACAGCTCAGGAAGAAGATCTGGATAGTCTTGATGAAATGGAAGATGAAGAACTAGCTATGTTAAGCAAACACGTAGCTAATCTATTGAGGTCGAGAAAAGAGAAGAGAAGAGGAGGGATGATAAATCGATCCAGAGAAGGAGATGATCAACCCAAATTCAATTGATCACTACCAAAACTGAGAAAAGAAGGAGCTGCAACTGAGAAGCAGTCACCACAGGCTGGATGCTTCAAATGTGGAAGATTAGGCCACATAAAGGATGAATGGCCGATGATGAAAAAGGAAAAGGCATACACTGCAACCTGGAGTTGTAGTGAAGAAGAAGAGGATGATGATGAAGCAAGGCACAATGCCTACATGGCACTGGGAATGAGTGATGATGACTCCAAATCACCTCAGGTAAGTCATCTTGACTATTATTCTGATAATTATAGTGAAACAGAAGAGATGATTGATACAATTAAAAACATTCAAGAAGAATTCGAAAATGTTAGACTTAAGCATGCTAAGCTGAAGAATGAATTTCTACACATAAACAGTGTATGCAATAAGCTGAAAGAAGAAAAGCTGAATGTTGAAGTCAACTAAAACAGTGTCTGCTTGAAAATGAAGCTCTTAGAGCTGATCTTCTAAGTCTAAAAGGAGTTCAAAACACTACAAAGTGCAAGTGTGGTGAGGAGAGGAGAGTCATTCTAGCATTAGAAAATGGATCACTAACAAATCATCAAATGCTAAAACTAATCATGTTACAAAGAAAAGAAAGTCAACAGTTGTTGAATGTTTCTACTGTCATCAGGAAGGTCATTATATTGCTAACTGCAGAAGAAGAATTGCAAAAGAAAACAAAAAGTGTCATAAATGTGGTTGTTCAGGACATTTAAAGAAACAATGTAACTTAAAACAAAAGATATCCAAATAGGTTTGGATACCAAAGATAAAATAAAATCATGATTATGCAGGTCTGTCTCCAAGTGAGCATGGATGACAGTGAATGGATCTTGGACAGCGGCTGCTCACATCACATGACCGGTATACAAGAATTATTCTCAAAACTTACCCTAGGAAAGAAAGGCAGAGTCTACTTTGGTGATAATTATAGCACAAACATTCTAGGGAAAGGTCAAGTAGGATCGAATCCAACAATTAAAAATGTCATGCTAGTTGAAGGTCTTAAACATAATTTGTTATCCATAAGTCAAATGTGTGGTACTGAGAATCGAGTAATTTTTGAACCTAATTCGTGCTAAGTTGAAAATATTTTGAGTAAACAGATTTTGTTCACTGGTAAAAGAAAAGGTAAATTGTTTGTCATAGACTTGAATGATAAAACATTATTCAATGAAACTTGCTTGGTGACAGTGGATAAAAATAATCAAATGGAATGGCACAGGAGATTAGGGCATGTGAGTGTGGGAATTTTATCAAGATTAGTAAACCTTGGACTAGCTAAAGGTATTCCCAAAATTCACAGTAAAAAGGAATTCTTTTGTGCAGCTCGTGCAAAAGGTAAACATGCTAGATCTTCCTTCAAAAACAAGTCTGTAATTTCAACTAAAAGACCTCTAGAACTGTTACATATGAATTTGTTCGGACCTACAAATATCAAAAGTCTTGGTGGAAAACAGTATGCTTTTGTTGTTGTGGATGACTATTCTAGATTCACTTGGGTTCTGTTTCTTGCATCTAAAGATGAAACATTTGAAAACTTTAGAGTTTTGTCTAGAAAACTTGAAAATGAAAAGGGGTATAAAATTATCAACATTAGGAGTGATCACGGAGGATAGTTTATTTCTGACAAATTTAACTGCTTCTGTGAGGAAAGTGGCATTTCTCACAACTTTTCAGCTCCTAGGACTCCTCAGCAGAATGGAGTGGCAGAAAGGAAAAACACAACTTTAATAGACATAGCCAGAACCATGTTGAATGATTATGGATTAGCAAAGCATTTTTTGGCAGAGGCAATCAACACTGCCTGCTATGTAACCAACAGAGCGTTAATCCGTTCCAAACTAAATAAAACTCCATATGAACTATGGAAAGAAAGAAAACCTAAGCTGGAATACTTGCATCCATTCGGATGCAAGTGTTTTGTGTTGAATACCAAGGATAATCTTGGTAAATTTGATGCTAAATCTGATGAAGCCATATTCTTAGGCTACTCAACACACAACAGAGCCTATAGAATATTTAACAAAAGGACCCTCAAGGTTGAGGAGTCCATAAATGTTATTTTTGATGAGTCTTCAAGTGAGTGTGCAGACAGCCTAGATGAAACAGAGGATTTTGGTCTTGGAAGAACAAATTCAGAAGATACTCTGAGAGAGACTGTTGCTGAAGATCATGACATAGAGGGAGAACTGAACAAGGAAATAAGGGAAGGGGAGCGCCAAGCTCCACCTCACATAAGAAAACGTCATCCCCCTACTCATATCATTGGCGACATAGAACAAGGTATTATCACTCGATCCAAAACTTCTTATGCTCATACTGCATTTGTATCACTCATTGAACCAAAGAATGTCAAGGAAGCTTTAGATGATGAATACTGGAATGCATCAATGCATGAAGAAATGAACTAATTTAAAAGAAACAATGTATGGGAACTAGTTCCAAAGCCTCAAAACAGGGTCATTATTGGAACTAAATGGATATATAGAAACAAATCTGATGAGGGAAGATTGTTAGAAATAAGTCAAGGTTAGTGGCTCAAGGTTATAATCAGGAAGAGGGTATAGATTTCGAGGAAACCTTTGCTCCTGTAGCTAGATTAGAAGCTATAAGGTTACTATGTGCTTTTTCTGCATCTAAGGGTTTCAAACTGTACCAAATGGATGTAAAGAGTGCATTTTTAAATGGGGATATAAAAGAGGAAGTCTATGTATGTCAACCTCCTGGGTTTGGGGACTATGAATTTCCAGACCATGTCTATAAGCTCAATAAAGCATTATATGGACTTAAACAAGCTCCTAGAGCTTGGTACGAAAAATTAAGTCAATTTTTGTTAGACAAAGGATTCCATAGAGGGACAGTGGACAAAACATTATTCATTAAAAATGAAAACTCTCACACCTTGCTAGTTCAGGTTTATGTGGATGATATAATCTTTGGTTCCACTAACACTACACTGTGTAAAGAATTTGAAAATGATATGAAGAGTGCTTTTGAAATGAGTCTCATGGGTGAACTGAACTACTTCCTAGGGCTGCAAGTTAAACAAACTAAGCAAGGAACCTTCATAAGTCAGACCAAATATCTTCTCAACATGCTCAAAAAGTTCAAACTTCAAAATCTTAAGATTGCCTTAACACCAATGGGTTCAACAGTAAAATTAACAACAGATGAAACTGGGATCCTTGTTGATGAAAGAATGTATCGTGGGATGATAGGTTCTTTGTTATATCTGACTACTAGTCGACCAGATATAATGTACAGTGTCTGTGTTTGTGCGAGGTTTCAAGGGTGTCCTAAAATGAGTCATCTCTCTGTAGTCAAGAGAATTTTTCGATATCTAAGTGGTACTTCCAACTTAGGTTTATGGTATTCATGTGATTCTAGCTTGGAACTCGTGAGTTACAGTGATTCAGACTATGTTGGATGCACTGTTGATAGAAAAAGTACATCAGGTACTTGCCATTTTCTAGGAACCTCTTTGATTTCTTGGGCAAGTAAAAAACAGAGTTCAGTAGCACTATCAACTACTGAGGCAGAATATGTTGCTGCTAGACTCAGTTGCACTCAACTTCTATGGTTGAAATACCAACTTCAAGAATATGGTCTAGTCGTTGGTACTCTACCTATTCTGTGTGACAACACAAGTGCAATTAACATGACCAAAAATCCAATCCAACATTCTCGGACTAAGCATATTGAAGTTAGATACCATTTTATTCGTGACTTGGTCCAAGAAGGTAAGATAGGTCTAGAATTGATTAGCACTGATATGCAGTGGGCTGACATATTCATCAAACCTCTTGGGGCGGATAAATTTCTTCCTATTCGCCGTGAACATGGGTTGTTCTCTCTTCACGAGATTGAATCTTTATGATTCTGAGGATATAAACTTTCTTTGCTTTCATAACCATTGATTGCTTGATTAAATCAAGCATTCATTGCAACTTACCTCTAATTTCCCTTCTCGAAACTCCACTAGGGTTAGGCCTCACTATATATTACTCTTCCCCTAGGATCTGATACTCCTCCATCAAGCCCTTTCTCACCTAAAACACTCGTGCCATCCATTAGCAGCCACAATGGCCTACAACAATGCTCAACTGCATCCTGCTGCAGTGTTTAGCAACAAGGGGTTTAGCAGTTCTGCTGCCTATTCTCGGTATCTTCGCAGATTCCGAGAGCGTCCCAACCACCCTTCCTTCTCCATTCAGCCTTCTGGCTTCTCCAAGTATGACATGAATGTATCCTCTCTCATTGATGGGCTGGGCTGGGGCTCATTGACTGAGAACATGAGATTCAGCTACTGTCCAGAAGCAGTACGCTTGTTTTATGTAAATCTTGTTCTGAGTCCCGGGTGCGATCCTGCATTCTTCACAACAACTGTGTTCAATTATGATATCACAGTTACTCTTGCTCTCTTAGCAAACCTTCTCAATCTTCCTCACAATGTCTTCGAGCACGTACAGATAGTGAGTTTTCCTCTCGAGGTTTTCGATTTGATGCTGCTCTGGCTCGCTATACGTATGATATCGGGGATTTCTATCCTTCTCCGCTTGCGGATGGTCGTCTGCCAGATGACTTAAAGGTGCTTCATTTCTTCATCACTAGGTCTTTTCTACCTCGTGACCTGTCTAGAACTGATCTTCTTCACTCTGTTGATTTATGGATCCTATCTAATGCTAAAGAAGGTCGTCTAATCAGCTATGCCTCACTCATGTTCTCCCACCTCATTAAGTTTGGCCTTGAGTACTACAGTGGTCCCCTGCCTTTTAGACCCCATATCACCAAACTTCTGTATAAATTGGGCTCTATTGCTCTGAAGCGACTAAGGCAACAAGACCTAATGTGGCCCAAATTTGTGTATGAGTCAGGAGCAGTAAATGACTCAATCAGTTCTGACTGTGAGTCAGAAGGAGAAGACAGAATTTCTGAGTACGAGTCTCCACCAGAATATCCCTTCTAGAGGTTATGGGTAATAGTCACAGGGGGAGGATCTAGATTCTGGGTTGTGGTCAAGTAGGTAGGAGTTATCATAATAAGTGGGTAGACTTGAACTAGTTTTGATAGGTATTCAATGTGATTGTTCTTTCTGTCTGAACTATGAATAATAAGATTTCCCCTTATTTTCCTTCTATTCAACTTTTTTTTTAGATATCTCGTTTGGAACAGGCTGCACCAATTGTGTGTTAATGTGTGCAGGTAACCAAGTGAGCCAATGACAAGTTTAGGGGGAGTTTGTTGAAGGAAGCTTGGTCAATGGCATCGAGATTTCAAGCAAAGCAAGAAGGGAAAGTAATATTGGAAATTCTGGTTCATCAAAAAAGGGAAAGTTCAGATGCTGTGATCAATCGAAGCAAATCAAGGAACACAAATTGATCTGCAAGCAACGGTCAACTGAAGAAGATGATAAAAAGCGGGCATTCTGGGTAGAGTAGGACATCTTTTTCAGGAAAATTCTCAGCAAGAAAACAGAGTGTTTTTGACCGAGTGTTTGAGAAAGAAAAAGAACAGAGTTATCAGGGAGAGAACTCAGGTTACAGAATTGAGACGTCAGGGTAGAGTAGTTGTAGGGAGCAGACTCTACAGTGTGACTCTGATCAAGTGACGGGGAGTCACTCTGAGATCAATCAGTGCTACTTCTTAAATCAATCAACGAACATCATAGTGAAACGTTGAAGGTCTCAAATCAGTGATCCTTCGACCGTGGATTAGTCGGTGTTAGGTTAATTAATCACCTAACACCAGATACCACGTAAAAATCTTGTGTCCATGTTTACTTTCATTTCTATTCCGTTTCAGTTTATCTTATGTTCTTACCTGTGTTCTTGGTTGAGTTCTCGGTTGAGTGTCTGTGCAGAACAGGGTTGATCGACTTGGCCAAGGAGAAAGAACAGACAACAAGTTCTTAAAATGCAGCGTACAAATCAAGTTAATTGGGCCAACTTAAGATTGACAGATTGAGACCGAACCAAGCCCAATTCTTTTTAATATTCAACTCCAAATTTGGTGTCATGTTGGTAAACACAAAAGGGAAGTTATTCTACCCTTTGTATCGATTCATTCTGCAGTTTACTCTATTCTCTTCACTTGTTCTTGTCAAAACCAAAATTAGGGTTACATAGAGTCTTAATCAATCGACGAAAAGAGGGAATCATTGCCAGAGTCTCTCGCTCAACTCAATCTACAAACTGCTTCGAATGCGGAAAGAGAGAAAAGGAAAGGGGGATTCACTAACCGAGAAAAGGAAGGTGAATCGGAAAAGGAGAAAATGAAGTCCTTCAGAACAAGCTCAAGACTCAGAAGGGAACCAAACAGCAATGACAGGGATGGATCGCAAGCTGGATGTTTCAAGTGCGAAGGAGTGGACATATCAAGGCTGATTGTCCACAACTGAAACGCGAAAAGGCCTATGCAGCTACCTGGAGTTGCAGTGAAGATGATGATGAAGAATTGGAACCAAATGCAAAATATGAAGCTTACATGGCAGTTGGTGAGAGTGAAGATGATTCTGATCTGTCTCAGGTCTGCTTCCAAGTGAGAATGGAAGACAGCGAATGGATTCTGGACAGTGGATGCTTACACCACATTACTGGAAATGAAAAACTCTTTACTAAACTGAGTAAGGGTAAGAAAGGTAAGGTTTATTTCGGAGATAATTACTGCACCAACATCTTAGGAAGAGGGGAAATAGGAACTGGTCCTGTTATTAAAAATGTCATGTTAGTTGATGGTCTAAAACACAATCTGTTCTCAATAAGTCAAATGTGTGGTGAAACTAATATAGTTATTTTTTAGCCGAATAAATGTTTGGTGGATAATATTGAAAATAAGAAAATCTTATTTAGTGGAAAAAGAAAAGGGAAATTATTCTGTATAAACTTGAATAACAAAAAGGAGTTTAACGAAATGTGTTTAGTATCTATGGATAAAAACGATCAAATGGAGTGGCACAGGAAGCTGGGTCATATCAGTGTAGAATCTCTAGCAAAATTGGTTAGTTTGAACATTGTAACTGGAATACCTAAGCTAAACAGAAGAAGAGAGTTTTTCTGTGAGGCCTGTACAAGAGGGAAACAAGTCACATTATCTTTCAAAAGTAAAACTGTTATCTCTTCCTCCAGGCCTCTAGAGCTGTTGCATTTAGATCTATTTGGTCCAAGTAATGTAATGAGCCTTGAAGAAAAATATTATGCTTGTGTTGTAGTGGATGATTTTTCTAGGTATACTTGGGTACTGTTTCTGGCTAATAAAGGAGAAACTTTCTTGCATTATAAAAATCTGGTTAAGCGTTTAGAAAATGAAAAGGAAACCAGAATTGTAAATGTAAGAAGTGATCACGGAGGAGAGTTTATATCTGATAACTTTGAAAAATTCTGTGAGAAGTCAGGAATATTTCACAACTTCTCTGCTCCGAGGACACCTCAGCAGAATGGAGTAGTGGAGCGGAAAAATCTTACCTTGATTGATATAGCAAGAACAATGCTTAATGACGATGGTTTGCCAAAGCATTTTTGGGCAGAGGCTATAAACACAGCGTGCTATATAATTAATAGAGCCTTAGTGAGTTAGAGTGATTGAATGCATAAAGAAATATATACCAAAGATGCCAAAATGACAAGAATGAGTATTTTTTTGGTCATTGATAAGGTGATATAGATTTGTTTTCATTATAAAGTACTAATTGAGGGATTCGAACATAGAACCTAAGACTAGTGATAGTACCACTCGACCAAACTCTTGCTCAAAAGAATGAGTTAATTATCCATCAAATAAGTTGGAAGTTAACATTAGTATGGGAATAATGATTAATTTAACATCAGTAAATGAATTGCCAATTATTTGATCTGTATTTCAAAGATTGATCTAGACAATCATACTATTTTAATAAAATCTAGACAATCATATACGAAGGTGATTTTACATATATGTTATGAAAGAATATACATGAGAATATTTACAAGAATTGTGAAACTTATAAGTTCGTTAAATGAGAGTATCCAATTGAATTTTCTATTTCATTATCTCCCACACAACGTCGCGTGAAAAGGTATTGGAGTTCAATAACGCCGAATTGTTGATATTACAAGAATGATGTACTCTTTTCTCTTCACTAGTCTTAATCTCGTGTATTTTCTTAGTAAGGTTTTAACGAGATATATTCATAACCAATAAACATCCTGTTATGAATTCATTGGTTCATGTGAAAGTCCTCAGCTACCATACCTGTCATGGAATGGATTGGAGACAAAGAAAATGAGTTGTACATGTCTCTGATTTAGTTCACTCATTCCCTGTAAAGGGGACTTCGAGGAGAACATCGCTTGGATTCACTTCTTTTCTCCTTTCTGTATTTTTATTATTCTTGTAGTTCATTCATAATTAATATTAGAGAGTATAATATAAAATTTATATTCATATTACCCTTTTTATTGTATTTCTTGTTTTTTTTTTCCAGAATACTTGCTCTTTTTATTGCTCAGAAATATCCCCACACACCGATTAAGTGATGGTGGAGCGAGGCCAAATTTATGGTTTCACTTGTTTGAGTATTTTGGGCCCTCCACAAAAATTCCCATTAAATACCTCTAGAACACCATAGCGTGTGTCGGTAGAAGTTGAATACGGGATCTGCCACTTCCCAAAATGAGCGCACACTAAGAGATCTCGAATCCAATCGGTATTGCAACTAATTAGTTATTGTCTTGTAAGATTTTCTCCACCATCATTACTAGCTACCCTATGTTTACATTATATTCTTTTTTATTAATCTTTATAGTATATTCTAATTTCAAATCCTAAAGGTATTCATCCGTTATAGACATTTTTTTTGTTTTGAGACGGTTTGGGGAATTATCTCTTTAATTAGATGTTTTTCTGCCGTCCTTTGTATGCTTCTTTCCAGAACTTCATACATCAACCATATATATCCGCGTACATGCAATAAGATGAATTTTACAATGTTATCGTCTAAAAAAATCGTTATGTAAAAGTTAAATTTATATTGAAATATTTTGTACACGTTCAGTTGTATTTAATTATATATTTTTGTAAAAATGTAGTATGATACAAATTGAGTTTGTACCTTTAACAATTTTAGTATAAATTTAATTTGTTCTTATATTGGTTCGTCCAAATTCTTTTATGTTACAAACTGAACTTGTACCTCTAACATTATGTACAAGTGCAATTTGTAACTTGGAAATACCAATACTTCTACAAGATATATAAAGCCAAAACATCACTCAAATTTTCAGCAATTTGAAATTCCTGTGCGTAGAGGGTTTCTCGGAAGGGTGTTTCAGACATTTCCCCTAAATAAGTTCTGTTGTGCGTTTTACCCTAGGTCACCCCAGCATATGTTGTCCACCAATTTGGGTCCGAAGTGGGCCTTCTTCTTTAATTTTTGCTCCATCTGGCCACAATATAGTTATCCTGCTTACAACCCTTCTAGTGAGTATATATTCACACGGGTAGATTGTTGTCCACGTCGCCGAGCCGTGATTGGAGGGTGGTGGAGCAGTGGCACCGGATTGTGAGGGTGGAGAGGCTGATCCGCTCAGCTATCCAAAGCCAGTTTCACCTATCAAAACAAGTGGGTCCACTTTTTTCAAATTTCACCCGCTTTCTCTAATAAACCCACTTTTTCACTTCTTTCTCCATCATTCTGTCCATTTCTTTCCTCTCTCCAAAAATAAAAAAAAAGCTTCATCTTCCCTTTCTCTCCAGCAAAAACTCTCTCACTTCCTCTCAAGAATATGACGACGACGACGGCTGGTGCACGCGACGGTCCTTGACGGCGACGAAGGTTTGATCGG